CTGGGGACGTAAGAGAGTTAGTTGGGTGTCTGACGGTGGGATCTTTTATTTATTTATCCTCTCTGTCTGTCTCTCTCTCTGTCTGCCTCTCTCTGTGTCTGTCTGTCTCTCTGTCTGTCTGTCTGTCTGTCTTTCTCTCCCTCTCCCTCTCCTCTCTCTCTCTCTCTCTCTCTCTCTCTCTCTCTCTCTCTCTCTCTCTCTCTCTCTCTCTCTCTCTCTCTCTCTCTCTCTCTCTCTGTGTCTGTCTCTCTCTGTGTCTGTCTGTCTCTCTCTCTGTCTGTCTGTCTATCTCTCCCTCTCCCTCTCTCTCTCTCTCTCTCTGTCTGTCTGTCTGTCTGCCTGTCTCTCTCTCTCTCACTACAATTCTTCTACTTCGCTTTGGTGGGTGGGGGTGGGGGTCATTCTTATGGTGATTAAGGAATGGTTTGGTTGATAGTCGAGATGAAAAGTAAATAAAAGAAAGAAAGAAAACGGTTTGTTAATATTTATGCGAAGTCTGACCCAATGAATATTCACTAAACGAACATGCATATACACAGAAATAAGTCCGTATCTATCAGTCAAGTTATGCATATCTATAGGGCAGATAGAAAGACAAATGTACATCCATCAGATAGATAGATAGATATTAATTCTTTGTATATGCATGTCCGTATATGTGAATATTCATTAGGTCAGGCCTCGCAGGATTTTAACAAACCGGCTGAAAGTGTACCGTTAGGATTAGCGGTGGAGAGATGTGTATACATATACATACGTGTACATGTGCGTAAATACACATAATAATTTTAAAAAATGCACAAGCATACATACCTACATAAAAATACACAAGCACAGCCGCTTTTACAGATATAGAGATAGATAAATAGACAGATCGTCGTTTGATGATAATGATAATCAATATGATTAATATGATTATTGTTGTTATCATTCTTGTTATATAATTATCATCATTGCTATTCAATATTATTATCATTGTTATTATATTATTATTCATTATTATTGTTATCGTTGTTATCATTATTATTTTTTATTATAACCTAGTCCGATCAGCTGACATTAATATGATTATTGTTGTTATTATAATTGTTATCATCATTGCTATTATCAATATTATTATCATTGTTATTATTATTATTATCATCATTATTATTGTTATCGTTGTTATCATTATAATTTTTATTATAACCTAATCAGCTTAATGCGTCTCTCGTCCAGATTTCCTATAAAAGAAAATCAACTCAAATCAACGAAATCTGATGTAAAGACGGGCGCCGTTATTTGTATTTTTAAATTAAATCACAGAAATATAACAGGAGACTGCTCAATCAACGTTTGATAATTTATCAAAAGAGGCTTCGAAGCTTTTCTTATTATTTCCAAAGCGGAAAAATCTTCACCAGAGAAAAAAAGGCACAAAGACAAATTAAGGACAATCCTTTCCCTCAAGACAAACTTAAGGACTTCTCATTAAATCAAATCTTCGTTTTCTTCTTCCTCCTCGTCCTTTTATCTATCTATCCTTATTTACCAAATAGAAATGAAAGTGAACAGATAATCATCAGTAAAACATAAGGAAACTGTATAGATGTGATTATTTCCTTAGTATATGTGTACCGTCTATGCCCATATGATTATGTAAAGCTTTACTTATAAGCCTTATAGTCTTATAGTCATGGTCCCTCGGACATTCCACGCAGGCACCAACCCCCTCAGCCAATCAGAGAGAGAGCTGAGCCGTGGAGATTGCAGGTTGCATTTGTTTTGTCCTGGCACCTCCCCCTTTTGTACTTTTAACGTGTGCGGTGACTAGCTTCAATTAAGCTCACTTGCAACTTGAGTTTTCAAGAACCTATTGACAAGAAAACAGAGAAGAGAAACGACATAACATGAGTCTTCATAGGCCTCTTCGACCTGACCGTGAAGGAGCGAAAAGGCAGCGCTTATCGGCACGGAGGATGAGAAAGAGAGAATGTATCTAAAAACGGTTTATTGGAGAGAAAAAACACCGTCTCGTTATCATTTATCGTTATCGTTTTTCGATAAGAAGGTCTGGTCTCTCGATCATGTTTGGATAGATAGATATTTGTATTTGTAAGTCGATAGACAGATAGATGGATGGATGTATGGATAAGTGGATAGGTAAAGATGTAGAGAGAGAGATACGTAGATTGTCAGAGCGATTGGTAGATAAATAGATAGGTAGGTGGGTAGATAGATCAGTAGATATAGAGATTATATATCAATTAAAAAGTTATCCAGATAGAGAGAGAGAGAGAGAAAGGAAGAGAAAGAGAAAAGAGAAAGAGAGGGGGTATAGGGAAAAGAGAGAGAGAGAGACAGAGGCAGACTGACAGACACACACGCACACACACACACACACACACACACACACACACACACACAGAAGAAAAAGAAAGAGAGAAAGAGAGATCATAAAGGAAAATGCATCTCATAACAATATAAAAGGAAAAAAACAATAAATCCAGAAAATAATCCCCCAAAACATGCCTAATAAACTCACACCCAAAGACAGAGATTCTAGCAAATCATTTTAATAAACAAAGTCCATTATATCATTAAAGTAAGTGTACCTGTTCGTTAAACACATCCCAGGTGCATTAATATAACTCAATAATTCTACATTAGCACAAGAGAACATAACGTAATGTTATTCAATGTTTTAGGTTTTCTTTTTATTATTTTCTTGAATGTTTAAGTTTTATTATTGTCATTATCACCAGTGTGATTGTTATCGTTATCATTGTTATCATTATTTGGTAGTGATGTGGGTGTGATTTTGATGTAATTCTTCAAGTGGGAAAATCTTTTCTGCGTCAGTGACCTTATTTCCTTGGCGGAAATTTGCACTCTCTGAGAGCTTCTAGTTATTATTATTATCATTATTGTTACTATTATTATCCTTATCATCATTATTATTATTATCATTGCTTCTATCATTATTATTATCATTATTATCAGTATTATGAACTTCATTATTATTATTATTCATTATTATCATTACTATTATTATCATTATAATTATTGTTGCTTTTGTTATTATTATCATTATAATAATAATAATTATTAGTAGTAGTAGTAGTAGTAGTAGTAGTATTGCTATTTTTATTATTATTATCATCATCATCATAATTCTCATCATCATCCTTAACATCACCCTTATTACCATCTTTGTTATTAATATTATTATCATTATTATTATCATTATCATTATCATTGTCATCATCATCATTATCATCACCATCCTTATCAAAAGTAAGTATTGTTATCATTATTGTTATGATAGTAATATTAACAATAATGACTATAGTAATTGTTATTATCATTATCATTATTTTTTCATTAACACTATTGCTATTGTTATTGTTTTTCATTACCATTATAACTATTATCATTATCAGTATCATTATTATTATTTCTATTACCCTTATTGTCATTACTATCATAATTACCATTATCATCATTATCAATACTGTAACTCGTGAGAATTATCATCACCAGCATTACAATCATCGACACCCAATTCATCATCACCACCACCATCCTCATCATCTTCATCCCCGCCATCATCATCAATGCCCCGCCCGATCAGCTGACATCACCAGCCTTAATTCGTTTTCGTCGAGATTTCCTGAAAGGTTATAATCAAACCATTAGCGGCCATTATAAGCTCCGAATGCGTTAATAAGCCCTGGAACACGTCTCATATTTCTGGCCTTTCGCTAAGCTGCTTAAGGCTTAGGCTCTGAGTAGGCAAATGATCTTCCAAACGTATATAAGCAGCTTTGTATGTTAATGAAGGGAAGCGGAGGGTTTGGCTCGGAGGATGGAGCGAGACTGCTGGCCGCGCTGCCGTTGACCGCTGAAGGGGGTCGGTTTCGGGGTGGGCGTGGCCAGGGTAGGGGTAAAAAGGAGGATGTTGATGGTATGACAATGATGAGGCTGGTGATATGGCAATGATGATGCTGGTGATATGGCAATAATTATGCTGATGATATTGTAATGATGAGGATGGTGGTATGGCAATAATGATGCGGGTGATATGGAAATGATGGTGCTATTGATATGGCAATGATGGGTATGGCAATGATGATGCTGGTATGGCAATGATGATGCTGGTGATATGGCAATGATGATGCTGGTGATATGGCAATGATGGTGCTGGTGATATGGCAATGTGATGCTGATGATTATGGCAATGATGATGCTGGTGATATGATAATGATGGTGCTGTTGATATAGTAATAATTATGCTGATGATATGGCATGATGATGCTGATGATGGCATGATGATGCTGGTGATATGGCAATGATGGTGCTGGTGATATGGCAATGATGGTGCTGGTGATATGGCAATGATGGTGCTGGTGATATAGTAATAATGATACTGATGATATGCAATGATGGTGATATAGTAATGATGAGGCTGGTGATATGGCAATGATGATGCTGTTGATATAGTAATAATTATGCTGATGATATGCAATGATGATGCTGATGTATGGCAATGATGATGCTGTGTATGGCATGATGGTGCTGGTGATATGGCAATGATGATGCTTGTGATATGGCAATAATGTGCTGTTGATATAGCGATAATTATGCTGATGATATTAATGATGAGGCGGGGTATGGCAATAATGATGCTGATCATATAGTAATGAAGAGGCTGGTGATAAAGCAATAATGATGCACGTCGTAATAATGATGATTCTAGCAGCAATGATGATAATAAGGATGATGTGAGACTTTCCTTGCTTGTGTTGCATGTTTTTTTTTTTTTTTTTTGTGATAATGATGTTAACAACAATCATCATAAGGATTGTGATGGTTTAACAATATTATTGTTAATAATTATAATGATTTAATAATGATAATGATATTAATAACGATAAAAGTCATAATAGCAGTGCTAATAGTAACTAATAATGATAATGATGATAATGATAATGATCAGGCTAATAACAATAACAAAAATA